TTAGGTTTTTCCTTTGTATAACATTTCAGAAGGATCTGTCTTTAGCAGTATTCCATTTGTTACTTGTTACAGAAGAATTGGAGGGGCAACAGTGTTTTCTGTTGTTCTGATGAAGCCTCAGTCTTAGCCAGGCACAGTGGCTAAAGCCTATGCTCCCCAGCACTTTGAGAAGCCCAGGCAAGAGGATCACTTGAGGCCAGGAGTTTGAGACCAGCGCCGACAACCTAGTGAGACCCTGTCTCATATAAAAAAAAGTCTTAAATTAGCCAGATATGGAGGTATGTGCCTGTAGTCCCAGCTACTTGAGAGGCCAATGTGGGAGGATTGCTTGAGCCCAGCAGTTTGAGGCTGCAGTGAACCATGATCGCACCACTGCACTCCAGCCTAAGCCACAAAACAAGATCCTTTTAATAAATTAAAAAAATAAATAAATGTATTCAGTCTTAGGCTTCATTATGTCCTTTGATCTGGTGCATTTGGTCTTTTAGTGCTCCTGCCCACCCTTCGATATGGTCCTAAGCACAAAACAGTTCTGCCCCTTTCCCCAGATGCAATGGCTTTCATCAGTGTCCCAAAGACAGCAGTGTTTCTTGGCCCCAAATCTACACAGATTAAAGTATATGTTCCCTAGGCAGGGTTTAGTGCCTTCCTATAGTGGCTGGTATTCCCCTTCCTGAGTCCTTTACCATGAAATTTCTTTCTCAAGACTCTCGCCAGTCTTTCTTGTATGCCCCTGTTGGGGTACAAGAGATTGTGAACTTAGACTTTAAGTCTGCTGCCTCCTGAGCCTCCACACTGTCTAGCCAGCCAATACTTAGCTTCCACCAGTTTGATATTTACTCTAGCTGAATCATTCTTAGCTTGTGGCTGTTTCTGCCCCTGGAGAGAAAGTGCTTAAATCCCATGCCATCTCTCTTGGAAGGCTCCCTTAGAGTTTGGCCAGCTTTCTTTGTTTCCTTCTTTTTGGCTCACTGCAACCTCCACCTCCCGGGTTCAAGAGATTGAACCGGGTTCAAGCTGAGGTTCTACCTCAGCTGCCCAAGTATCTGGGACTACAGGTGCATGCCACCACTCCCTGCTAATTTTTATATTTTTAGTGGAGACGGGGTTTCACCATATTCAGGTTGGCCTCGAATTCCTGACCTCGCGATCCACCCGCCTTGGCCTCCCAAAGTGCTGAGATTACAGATGTGAGCCACCATGCCCAGCCTTCCTTCTTTTTTCACTGGAAGGGTGGGAACAGTAGTACTTTGAGCCTCTTCATCCCAGATCACAAATCAAAAGTTCTGATTATGATGTATTTGTGATAGTTTTATTTTGTACTGTCGGTTTCTTTCTTTTTTGTTCCTATGTTTGTTCTTCCTTTCCTCTTTATTGGATTTAGTTTTTTCTTTCACTTTCAGTTTGACTGTTATAATTCCTTTTGTTTACTATTAGTGTTTAGTATCTGAAAAAAATCGGAAGTGCTTACCTGGCTGAACAAAGTCTAAAGTTAGTCTTCATCTCTGTATCCCTTCCAAACTTTATAAGGGCCTGTAAAGAACTTTATGTGTTCTTCTGACTTACAAGTTATTGTTGTACATTTTTTAATACCTCTGAACTACTAGATATTATTATTTTATGGAGTCAGCGCTTATCTGGATTTGTTCCTGTTAACCAATTATTGCTGCTCTGAATTCTTTTTTTTATTTAGTTTAGTTTAGCTTTTTGTTTTTTTAATAGGTTCTCACTGTTTTGCCCAGGCTTAAGTGTGGTAGCTGTTCACAGGCTCCATCATATCTCACTACAGCTTTGAGCTCCTGACCTCAAACAGTTCTCCTGCCCCAGCCTCCCAAGTAGCTGGGATTACAGGCTACTTTCTACTCTTGTATTTGACAGTTTCTCGTTTCCATCCTGCATTGTAAATCTGTCACTTTCTTAAAATTACTTTTCTCCCTTGTGTGATAGTATAGCTCAGTATACTACTATAGGGTGAAGTTTTTTTTTTTAAGCACTACAAATTTTTGCTGTTGAAATATCTTTTAGACATTTTATTATCCTTCCTTTATAGATCTCAGTTTTCCCCTTGATTTGCTTCTGTTAACAGTTAACTCTGTTAACAAAACTTAGCATTCTAAGTTTTGTTACAGTATATTTTGGTGGAGATGTATTTGTATTTATCCTGGTTGCAACTAGTTGTGTTTCCTAAACTGTAGATTCATATCTTCTATTTCTTAAATTGTAAAACATTCTCAAATATTACCATCTCTTAGACCATCATATCTCACTTCTTTTTTGTATTTTATCCTGTAACCTCGATTAGGTGTATTCTGCACCTTATTCTATTTTCTGTGTCTAATAACCTCTTCTAGGACACTGATTATATCTTCAGTGCAGCTAATCTCCAATCTAACCCATTCACTGAATTTTTAATATCAGTGGCTATGTGTATAGAAATTTTCTTTCATTATTTTTCCGATTTGCTTAATGTTTTTGATAGTGACTTGTTCTTTGCTTATGTTTTGGCATCTTCCTTTTATGTCATTAATACTGTAATTTTAGACATAACCTGTGTTATGAAAAGTTCTATAATTTATTATCTCTTGAGTTCTTAAAATATATTTTTTTCTGTCTGCTGTCTCTCACTCATGGTAGTTCTTGGGTTTTATGTGTATTTTGTAATGCTGAATTATGGACTTGTGTTCAGGGATGCAGGGAGGGAGTTTTATCTGTGGAAATTATTTGCAGCTTATGTCAAAGATGTGTCCCTCTGAAGTGTAGTTATTTGTTTTAATGGTAGCAGGTAAGACAGTAAAAAGAGACTGTGATACATTTTGAATACAATACTAAGAAGTTTACTTAATTTTGTAGACAGACTTATTTGTTGATTCAAAATAAGAAAGAAGCCAGGTGCAGTGGCTCATTCCTGTGTTCGCAGGATTTTGGGAGACCAAGATGGGAGGATCACTTGAGCTCAGGAGTTCAAGACTGGCCTGAGCAACATAGCAAGACCTCATCTCTACTAAAAATAAAAAAAATTACCTGGGTATGGCGGCATGTGCCTATGGGCCCAGCTATTCAGGAGATGAAGGCAGGAGAATTGGGAGATTGAGGCTACAAGTGAGCTGTGATTGTGCCTTTGCACTCCAGGCTGGGCAACAGAGCAAGCCCCTGTAAGACCCTATCTAAAAAAAGAGAGAGAGATTGAAAATGAGAAAGACCAGAGTATGTGTTAGAGGAAGATAAATAAAAGTAAAGATGAAGCAAGTTTTAAATGGTTGAAAGTTTTACAGTTTACATCTGTTAGATCTAAATTTTTTCATTCAAACTGGAGGCGCAGGGTCTTTTTCATAGGGTGAGGTAAAGTAGGAACAATAATGGTAACAACTGAACATTTATTAAGTATCTAAAATTTTCCCGGTGCGGTGGCTCACGGCCGTAATCTCCAAGCACTTTCAGAGGTCGAGGTGGGCAGATCACTTGAGGTCAGGAGTTCCAGACCAGCCTGGCCAACGTGGTGAAACTCTGTCTCTACTAAAAGTACAAAAATTAGCAGGGCATGGTGGTGGGTGCCTGTAATCCCAGCTACTTGGAAGACTGAGGCAGGAGAATCACTTGAACCCAGGAGGGCAGAGGTTGTAGTGAGCCAAGATCATGCCACTACACTCCAGCCTGGGCAACAAAGCGAGACTCCATCTCAAAAATATAATAATAATAATAATAATAATCTAATGCATTGTGTGAGACTCGTTTCATAAAATTTTTGCCTATAATCTAATCTTCACAACGTAGCCTCAAAGGGCAAGTAGTACTATCTCTATTGAAATTTGGTAGGATTAACTTGGCCAAGCTTTAAGAACTATTAAATGAGAAGTTAGATTTTTACTTCTTTTGGTTGTGAAAGTCCCTACTGTTTCTTTCAGGCCTCTGATAGAATAATTTAGGGTTGAGAGAATGCAGTCTAGGTCATACATGAGTGTGAAAACTACCTCAAGTTCAAGATCTATATATTTTTTAGCACATTTTATAATTATAATGCAATAAACAACTAGCATTTGTTGCTGCATATTAGGCCCTTTTACACATATTATCTCATTTAATTCTGAAGACACCAAAATGAGAAAGTATTTTATATTCATTTTTTAAAATAAGGAAATAGAGACTTAGAGATACGAGCTTGTTTGCTTAATGACCAAATATTAAAACTAGAATTCAAAATCTGTCCTTTATGAAAAAAGACTGTGCTAGACATTGAGAGCATGTAGAGGTACACATATGCCATATTTTGTGACATCAAGTTTACAGCCCAATAAATAATGATGGGACCTTTTTTTTAATTTGAGACAGAGTCTTGCTATCACCCAGGCTGGAATGCAGTAGTACAATCTTGGCTCGCTGCAACCTCCACCTCCTGGGTTCCAGCGATTCTTGTGCCTCAGCCTCCCAAGTAGCTGGGATTGCAGACGTGCACCAGCATGCCTGGCTAATTTTTGTATTTTTAGTAGAGACAGGGTTTCACCATGTTGGCCAAGCTGGTCTCAAACTCATGGCCACAAGTGATCTACCCATTTTGACCTCTCAGAATGCTGGGATTGTGCGCATGAGCCACTGCACCAGGCCTGATGGTAGCTTTTGACTGGTTTGTGCTTTCTTTCTGGAACTGGAAAGTGGAGTGAAATTCACCATTCCCGTATCTATCCACTTTGTACTCCCATTGCTAATCTTAGAAAGGAACACCTTCAAGTTGTATGTAAGCATTTTTATAGTTTACAGCTATTTTTTGTATAAATGGTATATTGAGCTATAATTAGTTTTTAATATTGATATGCATTCCTTTGGATGACTTTATTTTAAAAGCAGTTTTGTATCTTTTTTTTTTAATGTTGATTTGTTGAATAACATTGACCTATAACTAATAACATTTTTAATAATGCTATTGTGGTATAAAATGGATAGGTAATTTATTTTTAATTTTCAGGTCTTGTATCTATAGTCTGAGTATTTATATTTCTGATTATTAGAACCAGATCAATAGTAACCATCTTCGAAGAGCAGAACAAGAGGTGGTTAGCCTACAGGAGAAAGTGCAGTATCTTTCTGCACAGAACAAAGGACTCCTTACTCAGTTAAGTGAAGCAAAGCGCAAACAAGCAGAGATCGAATGCAAGGTAAATATGTCAACTAACTGATTTTGTTTTTTTGTCAATATATAATAATATAATAATGTCTTTTTTGGGTTTGTCTCATGATTAGATTATCTTAAAAACAAAACAAAAAGGCTAGTCCTGTTTTCTACTTATTCTTATTTTGGTAGTTGCTTTCAAACCAGGTTAGCTCATCTTGCTTCTGTGGTGGATTTCTGTCAAGAAATATTTTCAGTCATTTCCTTGGTTAATTTAATTTCCTGCATTGGCAATTAACAGTATCTCTTTACACTTTTTCTTTTGACTGGTAACTGTTTAAAACCAGAGCTTTTAATGGCCTTGATCAAAAAAAGATATGTCATTTACAGAGGTTAGGGTTCCTCTGCTTTGATTGGCATCTTATTAGTGGTCAATTAACATTGACATATGTTTTCTGGATAGACTAGAGAGCAAATGAAATGTGTATGTACCAGTGGGTTGGGAAAAATGCATTATGTTACCCATTATTATTTTAATCAGTTATATACTTTGGCTTTTTTGTGAAGTGTTTGGATTCAAAAAGCATCAAAAAGAATGCAAGTACATTCTTTCCTGAAGTAAATTTATAGTATAGCAGTGGTGAGAGTGTGGGGAAAGGCAGTGAGATGGAAGAAGATGGGGGAGGGTTTGGGGAGTGTGTGTGTGTGTGTGTGTGTGTGTGTGTGTGTGTGAAATAACTAAAGAGATGACTGTAGACTGGGAATTAGAATGGATTACTAAAGGCAAGTCATGGAATTTTAAAAAATAAACTAGGCATCTACATTTCCATGGTGAGATAGTAGGAATGATGCCCTTTAAAGATTCCAGCCTTATTATTGTATAAGAAATAAGACTTTTGATGGCACATATAAAGCTGTAATTCCATCAACTTATTCTGGTGTCATTAAAAACCAAGAGTGAAGCTTGAGTGGTTTATCAGTGTCACTGAAATCCAGAGATGAAATTACATCCTTATAAATATGCATGACTGTTACAGTTTATACTGACAGAAATCTCTAGGCAGTACTGAAATTTGTGCAAAGCACAGTCACTTTTGAAGGATATGATTAAAGTAGTTTATAAATAAAATATTAAATGAGGTATCTGATTTGTCATACCAATATCTGAGTTTTTATTATGCTAAATTGTCTGTGCTGACATCTTACAGAGAACTAAATTTAGTCTTTATTTATTATTGGTATTAGTTTTCCTTAAACATATTTTGATAACTGTGTTACTAGATTTAATATTGCTCTTCAAATGCCATAGTACCTGTTGAGCAAAGTAAAATGTTCTTTGGAAATAAATCTTTGAGGAACTTGCTTTTGAAAACAATTTTCTTTGAAGTTATCTAAGTGATCGGCTCAGATTCAGAATATTAAAGGATTTTATGAACTAATATGGGATTTTATTTAATTTTTATTTGTTCATTAATACCTCTGTGAAGTATGTTACAGATGCAGACTCTGTTATCTCCCTGTGTTTAAGCTTTGTGTTAATTTACTCAGTCTTTTGTAATGCCTTTTGCAGATTTCGAGAATGACCAATGTATTATTATGCAGAATGCACCTAGTACATTCTGATTAAATGTATATATTTTACCTTGTCATGTTGGAATGATTCAGGAACAAAGTTAATTTTTCAAAAAGCAAGTGATTGAAATAAATCTGATTCATTTTCATTTAGTATTATAAGATTATAGCTTATGATTAATTTGTAATTATTAAAGCATTTTTATTTTTTATTTGTGTAAGATGTGTGGATATTGTTTATAATATTAATGTTGTTTTCCCTCTACAACTGAATTTGAATGTTCTCACTTAAAGATGAAATATTACAAGCCTGTGAACCCCAGTTTCAAAATGTAAAACGCTCTGAAACCCTAGAGTTTTTTCATAAATTTCACACAAATTCCTTTGGAGGCAAAGCTTAATTTGAATTGATATATGGTCATTTATAATTTTTATTTATTCTACTTGATGTGAACATTTGTATCTCACTGCTTCATTGTATGCATTAAGCATATTGTTTCATTATAGGTGCTGCCTTATACCCTGCTGGATTATACTAATGTATGGTTTATTCAACCTATTACTTTTCTAAAATATGAAAAATCTGAATTCCAAACACATCTGGTTTATTTTGTTTTGGTTTGGTTTGCTACACTAGAACAAGGAAGAAGTGATGGCTGTGAGGCTCCGGGAAGCAGATAGCATAGCTGCTGTGGCTGAACTACAACAACACATTGCTGAGCTTGAAATCCAGGTACCATATGAAAATAATAATAAAGTACATGTAAAAATATAGGTTCTTCTATCCTCTTTGTCTGAACAGTAACTTATTCTTTATCCTCATGACTGTGATTCTTTTTTCAACACTTATTTATTTCCAACTTTATTTTTTTTTATTGTGGTAAAATAGACGTAAAACTTACCATTTAAAAGTACACAGTTCTGTGGCATTATGTGTATTTGACATTGTTGTGCAGCCATCACCATCATCCATGTCCAGAACTGAACTTCCCTCACTGAACATCTGTGCCTGTTAAATACTAACTTTCCACTCCCTTCCTCCCCTGGCAACTGGCAACCACAATTCTATGTTGTCTCTATAAATTTGACCACTCTGGTTACCACTATAAGTGGAATCATACAATACAGTCATATGCTGCATAAGGACATTTCAGTGATGGACAGCATAAATGATGATGGTCCCATAGAATGATAATGGACCTCAAAAATTGCTGTTGCCTAGTGACTATAGCCATCATTATGTTATAGTACAACACATTACTCATGTGTTTGTGATGAGGCTGGTATAAACAATCCCACTGCACTGCCACTCTTATAAAAGTATAGCACATATTGTTGTGTATAGTATATAATACTTAATAATAAATGACTATGTTACTGGTTCATATATTTACTATTTGTTGTTTTGCTATCCTGTTATTGTCATTTTAGAGTATACTTCTACTTATGTAAAAAAAAAAAAAAAGTCTCAGATCCTTCAGGAGGTTTTCCAGAAGGCATTGTTTTCATAGAAGATGACAGCTTCATGTGTGTTATTGCCCCTGAGGACCTCCCAGTGGGACAAGATGTGGAGGTTGAAGATAGTTATATTGGTGATGCTGACCCTGTGTAGGCCTAAGCTAATATGTGTGTTTGTGTCTTAGTTTTTAATACAAATGTTTTAATTTTTTTTTTTTTTGAGACAGGATCTCACTCTGTTGTCCAGGCTGGAGTTTAGTGGCACAGTCGTAGCTCACTACAGATCCAACTCCTGGCTCAAACAGTCATCATCAGCTTCCCCAGTACTGGGGACTACAGGCACATGCCACCACAACCAGCTTGCTCACTTGCTTGCTTAGTTAGTTAGTTAATTAGTAGCAACGGGGTTTCACTTTGTTGGCCAGGCTGGTTTTGAATTCATGGCCTCAAGTGATCTGCCTACCTCGGCCTCCCACAGTGTTGGGATTACAAGTGTGAGCCACCTCACCCAGTGTTAATTTTTTTTTTAACTTAAAAACTTTTTTGTTCATCAGATGCAATGGCTTACTCCAGATCAGTAAGCTGTGATCACACCACTGCACTCCAGCCTGGGCCACAGTGTGAGACCCTGTTTCAAAAAATACATTCATTAAAAAATACAATTAAAAATAGAAAAAAGCTTATAGAATAAAGATATAAAAATATTTTGTATAGCTGTATAGTATGTTTATATTCTAAGCTAAATGTTATAAAAGAGTAAAGTTTACAAATATTCAAAGTTTATAAATACAAATGTTACAGTAAGCTAAAGTTAATTTTTATTGAAAGAGAAACCTTTTTTTTTTTTTTGAGACTCTCCCTCCGTTGCCAGGCACCAGGCCTAGAGTGCAGTGGCACAATCTCAGCTCACTGCAATCTCCACCTCCTGGGTTCAAACAATTCTCCTGCCTCAGCCTCCCATGTAGCTGGGACTACAGGCGTGCACCACAATGCCCAGCTAATTTTTGTCTTTTTAATAGAGACAGGGTTTCACCATGTTGGCCAGGATGGTGTTGATCTCTTGACCTCATGATCTGCCCGCCTTGACCTCCCAAAGTGCTGGGATTACAGGTGTGAGCCACTGCACCCGGCTGAGAAACCATTTTTTATAATTTTATGTAGCCTCAGTACACAGTGTTTATAAAGTCTACAGTAGTGTATGTCCTAGGACTTCACATTGATTCACCACTTACTAACTCATCTGAAGCAACTTCTAGTCCCGCAAGTTTCATTCTTGGTAAGTGCTCTATACAGGTATACTATTTTTATCTTTTATAACATACTTTTCCTGTGCCTTTTCTATGTTTAGGTATACAAATACTGACCATTGTGTTACAATTGCCTGTAGTACCCAGTGCAGTAACATGCTGTGCAGGTTTGTAGTCTAGGAGCAATAGGCTATACCATATAGACTAGGTATACAGTAAGCTATACCATGTAAGTTTGTGTAAGTGCACTTTGTGATGTTAGCATAATGAAACTGCCTAACGATGCATTTCTCAGAACATATCCCCATTGTTAAGAGATGTGTGACTGTATTTATCCTTTTGTGACTGGCTTATTTCACTTAGTTTGATGTTCTCAGTGTTCGTTCATGTTGTAGTATATGTCCAAATTTTCTTCGTTTTTAAAGCTGAATAATATACCACATTTTTTATCTGTTCATTCACTGATGGACATTTAGAGTGCCTCCGTGTTTCAGCTATTGTGAATAATGCTGATGTGAACACAGGTGTACACATTTCTGTTCAGTCCCTGCTTTTATTTCTTTTGAGTACATAAAAGTGAGATTGCTGGATCATATAGTAGTTGTTTAATTTTCTGAGAAACTGCTATACCATTTTCCACAGATCCTATACCATTTTACATTTCTACCAGCAGTGCATGAGGATTTGATCTTTTCCACATTCTCACCAATACCTGTTAATTTTCTGTTGTTGTTGTTGTTTTTATAATTACCATCCTAATGGGTGTGAACTGGTATCTCATTGTGATTTTGATTTCCTAATGATTCACCATGTTGGGAATATTTTCATGTGCTTATTTTGCATTTATATATCTTCTTTGGAGAAATGGCTATTCAGATCCTGTGCTTAATTGAATCAGGTTGTTGTTTTTGTTGTTGAGTTATAGGAGTTATATATTGTCAATATCATTTTCTTATCAGATATATGGTTTACAAATGTTTTCTTACATTATGTTTGTTGCCTTTTCTGTTGGTAGTGTCTTTTGCATGAAAGTTTTGAATTTTGCTGAATCAACTTACCTGGGGTTGGTTCTTTCTTTCTTTCTTTCTTTCTTTCTTTCTTTCTTTCTTTCTTTCTTTCCTTTCTTTCCTTTCTTTCCTTTCTTTCCTTTCTTTTTTTTTTTTTTGTGGTGTTTACTGTGTTCCAAGTCAATTTTTTAGTGAAAATTTATTATATTTCTATATTATTAAAACTATGTTTTGACAGGGCACAGTAGCTCACACCTGTAATCCCAGGGCTTTGAGAGGCCAAAATCGCGGGATTGATGGAAGGGAGGAGTTCAAGACAAGCCTGGGCAATATAATGAGACCCTGTCTCTACAAAACAATTTGTAAAAATTAGCTGAGTGTGTTATGGTACAACCCTATAGCCCTTACTACTTGGAAGGCCAAGGTGGAACGATCCCTTCAGAAGTAGGAGTTCCACATTATAGTGAGCTACAATCAAGCCACTGCACTCCAGTCTGAGTGACAGAGTGAGACCTTGTCTCTAAAAAAAGTTTTTAAAATAAAAGTAAATGTGTTTTATCACTTCTTATGCCTTACTTCTTCTTGGATAACATGATAAAAGTAGTAAGTTTTCCCTATGGACAAAATATTATGTTTAAAATCTTATGTCTTTCAAGAGTTCATACAGGTTAAAGTATATTACCCAACTCTTCAATCTTTCAAAATAGAAAAGTCTTAAGTATTAAACTAAATAAAAGGTGATTTGAATAACTTTTCAAACTTTTTTTTGAGTCTTCAATAGCATTTCTCTTCTCCCTGTCACTTCGTTAGTTCATCTGCTTACCCCTTACCTGAACTGTTGTTGTAACCTCCCATCCAGTTTCCTTTTCTCCAACTTCAGCTCTTCTGCAGTTACAAAAGCTGTCTCTAAAACACAGAAATTTTATTGACTGCTTTTAAAATACCAAATCACATCAAAACTCCTTAGCATAAAATCCTTTTTATTATTACCCAAACTGAATTTCTAGCTTCATCTCTCACCGTTATCTTCCCATCCTCATCCCCCACAGATACACGCTGTGCTCTACCTATTGTGAATTATCTTATTCCTGAAACTTTCACATTCTTTCAGAATTCTGTGCTATTCTGCATGCTGCTGTATCTTCCTAAATTGCTTTATTTTTCTGAACTTCCTACTCCTCTACTTTTGAAGTATTTCTGTTTCCCTTTCAGGTGTTAAGACTGACTGCTTCTTGGTAACTTGCTGTTAATTCGCTTAGTAAATGGGTTTTCAGTAGATGTGTTACTGAATACATCTTAGATATTAAGGTTTCAATATTTAATTATATGTATATATAGATATAGATATATTTAATGCAAATTAAGAATTAAGATTTATAAATAGATCTCTCATTAAAACCTGAAACTTTTTTTCAGTTATCAAAGTAATATATTTTAGGTTATTATCTTAGTCATGGAAATATCTTAAATCATTTTCAGGTTCCACTAGGGGGAGAACTCAACTTGGTCTAAGATTTTTGTACTTCAGATCTCTTCAGATTAAGTCTTTTAATTACTGGTACTCTCCTGTGAGTAAAATTTTTTTTGCACAAACCAAATTCTCTCAGACTCTTCTTATAATAAATAATATTATTATTTAATGTGTTATTCATATAATGAAAGCCTGCTTTTTAATGTAGTTATGAAAATCATACTTTTGTAAACATTATATTTAAATGAGAAAATACATTAGAAAAAGAAATACTCATTTTTGGTTTTTTGTTTTTATTTGTGTTTTTTTTGAGATGAAGTCTCACTCCGTTGCCTAAGCTGGAGTACAGTGGTGCAATCTCAGCTCCCTGCAATCTCCACCTCCCAGGTTCAAGGAATCCTCCTGCCTCAGCTTCTGGAGTAGCTGGGACTACAGGCATATGCCACCATGCCCAGCTAATTTTTGTATTTTTATTAGAGACAGGGTTTCATTATGTTGGTCAAGCAGGTCTTGAACTCTTGACCTCTTGATCTGCCTGCCTCAGCCTCCCAAAGTGCTGGGATTACAGTCATGAGCCACCACAGCCAGGCAATTTTATAAATACTGTAACATTGTAGTATATAGATACTTATAATACTGAAATTTGTTTTCAAGGATTATTTGGAACTTTTAGATCTAATTTAAAATTTATCATCTACCCCCATGTATTATTCTGACTTAACTCCATCTGTAGTCTAATTATATGTTTTATAATAATACTTCCCCCAGTGCCCTGTCTTTGTTGGAGCTGTTTTGTATTCGTGTCTTACAGTGAACTTAACTATTTTTAAGTGTAGCAACTTTCAAGTTTTAGAGATTTTCCTAGAATTATTTTTAAAAGTTATTATTACCTAGGTTTCTTCTCTAACAGAAAGGCAGTTACTTATTTGTGGATTTTTTTGCTATAAAATTATTACACTATTCTGCTGTAATGCTCAGTTGAGAACAGATTATACAACCTGTAAAATTAAGGAGTTGAACTCTAAGGTTCTGTCACATATAAAACAGTATTATACCATGTATATCATTTTAATATTTTTTGACAATTTCAAGTTACCATGAATTTTAATTATTATATACTCATCTCACTTTATTAATAATACCTCCATTACTTTCTCTTTGGCCAAATTTTTACCTTAAATAGCATTCCTATCCTAATTACTAGGCTCATGTTGCTATATTGTCACAACAATTATTCCTTTTGTTAAAATTATACATAGTTTTATTTTTTATTTTTTTATTTTTCATTTTATTTTAGTTGGGGGGGTACATGTGAAGGTTTGTAGATAAACATGTGTCATGGGGGTTTGTTGTATTTATTATTACATCACCCAGGTATTAAGCTCCGTATTCAATAGTTATCTTTTCTGCTCTTCTCCCTCTTCCCACCCTCCCCCTTGACATATTTTTAATTATCCACATTTCCCATAATAGCGTAAGTTCCATGGGAGTGAAATAAGACATAACTGTCTTATTCATTGCTATATTCCTTTTTGGGCACTTGTGGGAGAAACAAGGTCTCGCTCTGTTGCCCAGACTAGTGTTCAGTGGTGTGATCATAGCTCACTGCAGCCTCGACCTACTGGACTCAAGCAATCCTCCCACCCCAGCATCCCAAGTAGCTGGGACTACAGGAGCATGCCACCACACCTGGCTAATTTTTGTATTTTTTGTAAAGATGGGGGTTGACTATATTACCCAGGCTGGTCTCAAACTTAGGAGCTCAAGCAATCTGCTGCCCACCTGGGCTTCCCCAAAGTGCTGGGACTACAGGCGTGAGCCACCATACCCAGCCTCGTTGATATATTGAGTGCTTACTATATAATACCTGGTACATAATCATTCAGTAGATATTTGTATTTGACCAAATTTGACCAGTAGATATTTGAATTTTGACAATAATTCATTCATCTTCCAATGTTGTTGCTCCAGTAAATGATTTTTACTGTATGCAGTTGTCACTATATTCACACATGCATCAATTTGTGTACATTCCTTTATTATTAGATCACTGTCAGGAAGGAGAAAATGAATTCAGCCTCTATCCAAATGTATTTACCATTACAGAGAAGAAGTGATTGTGCCTAGGTCCCTTCTTTGAAATGTTTTTGAGTAGAATTTAAACCTCTGAAAATTATTTTTGGTATTACTGACTATAAGAACATGTGGCGCTTGAGCGAGATGATCGGAGCAGTCTCAGCGAGCACCATGTTGCTTCCGAACATCCTGCTCACCGGTACACCAGGGGTTGGAAAAACCACACTAGGCAAAGAACTTGCATCAAAATCAGGACTGAAATACATTAATGTGGGTGATTTAGCTCGAGAAGAACAATTATATGATGGCTATGATGAAGAGTATGATTGTCCCATTTTAGATGAAGACAGAGTAGTTGATGAGTTAGATAACCAAATGAGAGAAGGTGGAGTTATTGTTGACTACCATGGTTGTGATTTCTTCCCTGAACACTGGTTTCATACAGTTTTTGTGCTGAGAACAGATACCAATGTATTGTATGAAAGACTTGAAACAAGGGGTTGTAATGAGAAGAAACAAACAGATAATATTCAGTGTGAGATTTTTCAAGTTATTTATGAAGAAGCCACAGAATCCTACAAGGAAGAAATCGTGCATCAGCTGCCCAGCAATAAACCAGAAGAGCTAGAAAATAATGTAGATTAGATCTTGAAATGGATTGAGCAGTGGATCAAAGATCATAACTCTTGACTTATAAGGCTAGCTACTTTATAATCACTCTTGTTGATATCTCTTTGCCAACATCATAGAAATTGTTCAGGTATCAGTAACACTTTATTAAAATCACCTTGCAGGACTAGCAGGTGGATAGTATATAGGTTTATGCCTGTGTTTCTTTTTCTCCGTGAGAAAGCTAAACATCTGAAATATAATGACTATAGCATTATTAAGGACTGAGGCACAAACTGTGATTTTAATACTTAAATTGCTAAAGATAAATAAATCTGACAAAATGGGTAGATATCTTTTAATTTTATTACAGAAAAAAATACAGATGATCGCTTAAAGTAAAACTAAAGATAAAGCCTCAGAGTATTCCTTTTTTCTTTCTTTAAATTTGAGAAAAAGGGAAGTGTACTCTATACAAAATTCAAAAGGTATAAAAAGTGTTGAAAAGTTAGATCTCCCTTCCAGACCACCCTGTTCCCAGGCACCACAAGCTCCTTCCCTTTAGGAAATAATGTTACTGGTTTCCCATATGTCTTTTCAGAGGTTTTATGCCTGCACAGTGTATATATGCGTGTGTACATTTTTAAAAGAATAGTATATTGTGCACACTATTCTGTACCTTTTTTCACTTAATGTATTTCATCCTCTTAGTATATCTTATATATCATCATATATATCATCTTAGTATAGACCTCCCTCTTCTTTGTTTTTTACTTGAGATATACATATCATATGATAAAATTTACCTTTTTAAAGTGTATAATCAGAACCGGGTATGGTGGCTTATGCCTGTAATCCCAGCAACTGGGGAGGCTTAGGTGGAGAATGGCTTGAGGCAGGAGTTCAAGACCCTCCTGGGCAATAGAGCAAGACCTCAGACTCTAAAAATAAACATTAAAAAAAAAAAATGTGAGAAGATGCCAACTATTATCATTAAAGAATTTTTTTTTTTCTATCCTCACATATGCTTTAGAAGCCAGTTTTCTGGTTGAATGTCTCAGGCTAAAGGAACTTCTTTTAGTAGCCTGAAAAAATAAATATGACATATCTTAATCAGAATAAAGAGCTTCAAGAAATTTAGTTAGGAAGAACAAGAGGATTTTAGAATCCTAAGTGACTCTGTGGTCCCATCTTTTTGTCTTTTTGTTCTATAGAGATTCTGTGTTGGTTAAAAGAATGGATTTTTGGAGTCCAACCTCTTATTAGCCTCTTACCTTAGACAGGTTATTTAATCCTGTTATTTAGCCTCTTACCTTAGACAGGTTATTTATTGATTTACTCATTCAAAACAGGATTCTAAAGTTATTTGGCTTAGAGTTGTTGTGATCAAATGAGAAAGCTCATGTAAAATGTTTTCCTGCCTACGTAATATCCAGAAAAAATAGCTCATAGACGTTATATAAAAAGGCACATTCAACACTGTAGAGTGTCAAAAATTACAACCAAATGACAAAGTTCTGAAACTCTTTGGGTTTCTTTAAAGACAGCTTTAGCAACCTCAGATACTGAATATATCCCTTTCCAAACATTATATAAAGCCTGACATTAAGAATTATCTTTGGGCCAGGCATGGTGGCTCACATAGGACATTACTGAACACTTAGTACATACCAGGCAGTGTTCTAAGCCATTTGAGTATATTCACCTATTTAATCCTCACAAAAATCATATGAGATAGTAGTTTTGGGATTTGTTGCTGTTTTCAAGACAGAGTCTCACTTCATCATCCAAGCTGGAATGCAATGGCGCGATCACAGCTCACTGCATTCTCTACCTCCCAGGCTCAAGAAATCCTCCCACCTCAGCCTCCAGGTAGCTGGGGCTGTGGGTGCATGCCACCATGCCTGGCTAATTTTTGTACATTTTTCTGTAGAGATGGGGTTTCACCATGTTCCCTAGGCTAGTCTTGCTCTCCTGAGCTCAAGTAGTCTGCTTGCCTTGACCTCCCAGAGTGCTGGGATTACAGGCATGAGCCACCAAGCCCAGCAAGATTTTGTATATATCTTCATTTTATAGTTGAGGAAACTGAGGCATAGAAAAGATTTTAAAATGAGATTTTGTTGTTTGTATGATAACCCACTCGAATTTTTTCCAGGAATAAAATGAATTTCTTTCCTTTAGTATTACAACATACTGTTATGGTAGTTTTATAAGTTTTCTTAATAGCATATTGACAGTCTCCTGTAGAACTGCTTATTAGACAGCTAAAGTTACTATTGGTTCCCTGTTCATTACTTAAAATTTTTCAGTTGTTTCCCCTAGCTTTGGGGACAAAATTCAAACTCTGACTCTCCATGTAAGATCCTTCCTACTCAAATTCTTGCCTACTTTTCGACCTTTATTTCCCAGTTACCCCAACGTATATATGCCCAGTACTTGAGGCCCAGTATGCTAGTTAAGAACTCTTCAACTCTGTCATCCTATTTCACTCCATGTTTTTTCCCTCCTCCTTTGATCTTGCTTTTTATTTCAAAAGTCTTAAGCTTGACTGGTTGTGATCAGCATTCCCTGATAACACCATCCCTATTGATTTCATGTGTCTCTGCTTTTCTAACACCCTTTTAGAGAGACCTCTCTTCTCATACCATCTCACATGACTACAATTAACTTTTTCAACTTTTTTGTCCACCATGTGCAGCTGAAGTTTATTGAGGGTAAGGACCATTATTTGACTTTATATTTCCAACATCAGCATACTACAGACAGTCAAAATATGTTTATTTACTAAAATAATTTGTGTAAATAGTTTATTTCTTGAAATACCAATTTGACGTTAAATGTTATTCTAATTTAAATTAGAATTTAATTTAACTTGAGTGGTGTTTTTTGTTTTTGTTTTTGTTTTTTGAGACAGAGTTTCGATCTTGTTGCCCAGGCTGGAGTGCAATGGCATGATCTTGACTCACTGCAACCTCCACCTTCCTGGTTCAAACGATTCTCCTGCCTCAGCCTCCTGAGTAGCTGGGATTACAGGCACATGCTACCACACCTAGCTAATTTTTGTATTTTTAGTAGAGACAGGATTTCACCATGTTGGCCAGCCTGGTCTCAAACTCCTGGCCTTGTGATCTGCCCATCTAGGCCTCCCAAGGGGCTGGGATTACAGGCATGAGGCACTGCGCCTGGCCTGAGTGGGTCTTTTTTAAGCCAAGAGTGGTTGGGGTATTGCCCATCTGAGGCATCCCTAGAGGTTATCTGTTGGGCAGAACAGATGTGAAGAACATGTGAAGAACAGATTAAATTACTATTTAAATGGGGTGTTGATTTCAGTTTTGTAGATATTTATGAAGTACTTACTGTGTGCCAGTTTCTATTCTGACTAAATACCACCTGAATTAGTGAGAAAAATACAAAAATCCTTTTCCTTATTGAGCTTTATGGTAGAATGAGAAATTAGATGAAAACAATAAATGAATCTTATGGTGTGTAATTTAGATGATGAATGACAATGGAGAAAAGTGTGGGAAAGAGAAGATAACTGGTATTAGGGGTGGAGGACTGTTGCTATTTTAATAATGCAGTCTATAAAGGTTCATTAGAAAGGGATATTTAAACAAGCATTTGAAGCAGATGAGGCATGAAGATTTGGGAGAAGAACTACTTACTAGGAGAATATTATAGGCAAAGGGCCAGACATAAGGAGCATGTCTAAAGTAGAGTCTGGGTGGAGTGAGACAAGGGAATTAGAGGAAGTCTGAGAGGTGAGTAGAGCCAATTATGTAAGACCTAAGAACTTTGACCTTTCCGTACTCAGATGGAAAATCATTCGAGGTTTTGAGCATGGGCGTGATTAATTAGATGACATTAAACCTATTAAAAAGATTAATTAAACTGATTCAAAAAAATTCTGTAAATATTCATAGCATTTAGTTTGGAGGGAAATGGTGTTAAAAATTAGGTTTCCTCTTGTTACTGGAGTTTTCTGCAATCTAAATGCTATTTATTATTTGAAGACTTTATTTTTACATCAGTACTAAATAGAGCTATCTGTAATTTCCAGGGAGTAGAACAAAACATAGAAAAGTTAAATTTTTGCCCAGTTAGTTAAGAAAAATAGGTAAGAATTAAACCCAAGCCTTCTAATATTTAACCTGGGATTGAGTTTGTATTTTGATTATTATAAAGATAAGCATATTGGTTTTTGTAACTGTATTAAAAGCTTCTGTGGGCTAAGCACGTCTATAAAATTAATGCTGCTTTGTTACAAATAATGGAAAGTTTTTCATTTAAAAGAGTTTGAGTCTACTGAAATCCAACTTTTGGTTCTTTTCCTGGTACCCAGTAACATTTACCCACTTTGGTTAGTTTGCCCAACAGATAACCTCTAGGGATGCCTCAGATGGGCAATACCCCAACCACTCTTGGCTTAAAAAACACCCACTCAAAATTCTGTTCTGACATAGAATGAGGGTGCTAGGTTTAAATCAGTGTGCTCAGATCGGTATGTAGTTTTGACAGAGATGGAGAGGAAGTGATAAAATCTTTACCATTAACTTAAAAATACTATATTTTTTAATTATGTGAAATTACAGTGACATTACTAAATGATGGAATTTATCATAAAGCTTTGTGATTATTTTGTACTTTCCAATTTCCTGAGCTAACTTGTTAATAGTTTCACAATGGGTGATGGTTTATATGCCAACTCTTAGCTAAAAAAACAACTTTTGGGAAGGTTTGGTTTTTTTTGTTTGTTTGTTTTTTGTTTTTTTGCCCCTGAAGCACAATTGTTTATGGCTTTCATTTGGGGCAGCTTACCTAAATATTAAAATGTGTTTCATTTTTCTTTAAGGCATTTCTCAATTTTAAGCATTTTTAATTTGAAAAAATATTCTATAATTGTATTTAGTCTTAATAGTAATACGAAATAAAGGAAGATAGGTATATAGACTGCTTTACTCAGCTTGCTATCTAGTCATTAGGGACTATGAGGTTCTGTTTAAAAAGTATTTTCTGAAATGTTCATAGATTCTTTGGCATCCAACTTCAGTACACAGTTAAAATTTAGTTGAATTATATAGTGGTTTTTAGGATATTGCTATATCTAGAATGGAAGAACATCATTTGGATCCCCCAAGATGAGCTCATAGTAAGATCCCAGTTAAGAATTAGGGGAGTTTGGACTCTTACATATCATAATATATGTGCTCACTTGGGGTTATTAAAAATTAGTTAATGCACACTTAGTGTCCAGATTTTGGTTTCTAATACTATTCTCTAATGAAGGGAACCAGGGTTCCTCATAGAAATGTCTGATTCTAGGACTGGGACAGGAAATACACAAGATAAGCCTGGAGCATCTTGTAATACCAGTAACTAAGGAAGTGCTCAAAACACACACACACACACACACACACACACACACACACACACACACGCGCCCCCAAAACAAAAAGCCTACATTAATTAGGAGTATGTTGAAGGGACAGAGGAAACAACTGAGAGAGTTCCCAATGGCCAAAGGTAGGACAATTTGAGGAAAAAAAGTTGAAGTATTATGTACTTTAAATACACAAGCCAAAGTATAATAACCCAAAGTGGATTATTTATGTTTTTTGAGATGGAGTCTCACTCTGTTGCTAGGCTGGAGTGCAGTGGCACGATCTCGGCTAGCTGCAACCTTCGCCTCCCGAGTTCAAGCCATTCTCCTGCTTCAGCCTCCTGAGTAGCTGGGACTACAAGCACGTGCCACCACACCCAGCTAATTTTTGTATTTTTAGTAGAGATGGGGTTTCACCATGTTGATCAGGATAGTCTCGATCTCTTGGCCTCATGATTCACCCGCTTCTGCCTCCCAAAGTGCTGGGATTACAGGCATGAGCCACCATGCCCATCCCTAAAGTGGATTATAACCCAAAGTGTAAAATAAATATCCATGAGCCTATATTGATATGAATGATGATTGAATAAATTAACAAATGGGAGATATAAGGTACATATGCAGAAGAATTCTAAATAATTTTTGTAGATACTATACCCTCAAGGAGGGGAAGCATAAATCTCCACTTCATAAGCATGGACTGCACTTAGTGACTTCCCTCCAGAGGAAAAGTATGAGTGACAAGAAGTAACTTTGTAGTGGAGAAACCTGACAAAGATTACCTAAGCCACGTGATTAAGATCACATCAACAGTCATAAATTACACTGGTAGTACATACCCTTGATATTACGTGACATGATGAAAATGGCACTCTGCCCCTGTAGTCTTCCTCCTGATAACTGATAACCCTAGTCTTACCACCATGAGAAAACTATAGGACAGATTCATTTGTGAAGATCCTACAAAATACCTGACTAGTAATGACTCAAAGCTGACAAGATCATCAGAAACAAGCAAAATCTGAGAAACTATCACAGCCAAAAGGAACCTAAGGAAACATTGCATCTAAATGTAATGTATCCTGGGTAAAATTCTAGAAACAGAAAAAAAGAAAAAAAAAAGACAGGTTAAAAAACAAGGGCAAAGGAAATCTGAATAAACTAAGGACTTTAGTTAGTAGTTAATGTATCAACATTGGTTTCATTAATTGTAGCAAAGGTACCATACTAATATATTAATAATAGGAGAAACTGCATGTGGGGGTATGTGGAAACGATTTTCTCAATTTTTCTGTAACTCTAAAACCTTTATAATAAGTGTGTAATATTTTTTTAAAACTAGTTTGTGAGTCCATGGTTTTTAGGAGCCATCGGAATTACATCAAATTTTAAGTATTGGTCACAAAATTGATTTGTTTTCAATTAAATTATGATTTATGAGAAACATTTTCTGCCTTTTAGACCTTGTGTGAATGCTGACTTGTTTTTTTTAAGAGAGACAGGGTCTTGCTCTGTTGCCCAGGACAGAGTACAATGGTGCAATCATAGTTTACTGAAGCTTTGAACTCTTGGGACTAAACAGTTGTCCTACCTCAGCCTCCCAAGTAGCTAGCAATACAGGCACACCCCATCATGCCCTGCTAATTTTTTAATTTTTTGTGCACATGGGGTCTTGCTATGTTGCTTATGCTGGTCTTGAGCTTCTGGCCTCAAGTAATCCTCCTGACTCAGCCTCCCAAAGGAGTGGGGTGTTTTTTTTTTTTTTTTTTTTTTTGAGACTGAGTCTCGCTCTGTCTCCGAGGCTGGAGTGCAACAGCACAATCTCAGCTCACTGCAGCCTTGGCCTTGTGGGTTCATGTGATTCTCCTGCCTCAGCCTCTCAAGTAGCTGGGAGTATAGGCGCCTGCCACCATGCTTGGCTAATTTTTGTATTTTTAGTAAAGACGGGGTTTCACCATGTTGGCCAAACTGGTCTCAAACTCCTGACTTCAGGTGATCCGCTGGCCTTGACCTCTCAAAGTCCTGAGATTACAGGCGTGAGCCACCATACCCGTCCTTGGGCTGGTATTTTTTAACTCTGCCTTTAGCTGGTTTTATAAGAATATCACTTTGAAAAATGTGTATATATGTATGTTTCTCTTCTGAAATTGAATTAAATCATTCTCAGCACTGAAAAATACTAGACAAATATCTGATTTCTTTTATCCCTTCTATACTTTTCAGATTGCATTATTGGTTTTTAAAAGATATTTATGTATATTTTTACTTTTTCTAATTACTAAGAAGAATATTTAAACCTTTGTCTAGGACTTTAAATTACAGGAAACTGTTTCAAAAACTTATCAGTAGTACATGATTTGAGTATGATTTGTTTTTAGATGTTTTCAAATGAGTCACCTTGAAGTCATTGAGAGGCTACCACTTACCACATTTACTGTTCTGATTAATTTTTCTTTTGGCAAAGCACAAATCAGTAATAACCTACTAAAGCTTAGTGGTTGCTCTTGATGTTTCAGTAAGGTGATGTTGATTAATCAGAGTGATTACTTACCAAGTGTTACAAATTTACTCAAATTATTGGGCTTTCTTTTACTATAGTAATTTTATATACAGTTTTAATTTGCTTAAGACATTTTGCTTCATATATGCATTTAAAATATCAATGTAGAACTTAAAATGTGTGTCCATGCTGCAAATTAATGTGGTGGCCTCTGTGACCGTTGAACATAGTTTCATAATAAAGCCTGGGGAAAAAAAGCATTATTTAACCTTTTAAACAATCAAGAGATTACTTTTTAAACTGTCACTAAAAAGGTTTGATTTTTTTACAAAAGAGAGCACTTGAATATATCTTTATGTACTACAGTTTCTCTTTTTGTTAGATTTTTTGTGTGTGGGTGTAATAAAACATATTCTTAAAATGAAAGCTTTACACTATGTTTGAGAATAAGCAACTTGCATTGTGTCATGACCCTTCTAATACCACAAACCTTCTGTAATACTACTCCTGGAGAAAAACCCACATCCTATGCATAACCTTAGATTTATTTTGAAATCTCTATGAAAAGAGCACAGAGAGATTACTAATTGTTTCTGTTACTTCCTTTAGGGGTATGATATCTATTTGTAACCCATGTGTTAAATGTTAATAGCCAAGAGTAAAATGTTAAAGTATATTAAGTAGTGATTTCCTATCCTAAAGTTAATATGTGGAAATTTAATAACTAATTCTAAGTTTCAGTTTGTTATATTAGATCTCTGGAAAAAATGTACCAAAAAAAAGAGAGAGAAGGTGTTGGTACTTCCATTAACCTATACCTCTAATACTATTGGCCAGTATAATACTAGAAAACAATTGCAAATTTAATAAGTCTTATTTTATTCTTATTTTTTCCATCTACTTTATATTTCTTTAATATTCTTTTTTTTTTTTTTTTTTTTTTGAGACAGAGTTTCACTTTTTTTACCCAGGCTGGAGTGCAATGGCGTGATCTCGGCTCACCGCAACCTCCGCCTCCTGGGTTCAGGCAATTCTCCTGCCTCAGCCTCCTGAGTAGCTGGGATTACAGGCACGCGCCACCATGCCCAGCTAATTTTTTTTGTATCTTTAGTAGAGACAGGGTTTCACCATGTTGACCAGGATGGTCTCGATCTCTTGACCTCATGATCCACCCGTCTTGGCCTCCCAAAGTGCTGGGATTACAGGCTTGAGCCACTACTTCTTTTATATTCTTTATGTAACTGATGAAAGTGGATGAAAAATCCAATGTTATGTGGTTTTTGTTTGTTTGTTTTTTTCTGAGACAGAGTCTCACTCTGTCTCAGAACCTTCACCTCCCAGGTTCAAGCGATTCTCCTGCCTCAGTCTCCCAAGTAGCTGGGATTACAGGCATGCGCCACCATGCCCGGCTAATTTTTTGTATTTTTAATAGAGATGGGTTTTCACCATGTTGGCCAGGCTGGTCTCAAACTCCTGGCCTCAGGTGATCCACCCACCTCGGCCTTCCAAAGTACTGGGATTACAGGTGTAAGCCACTGTGCCCGGCCCCAGTATTATTTTTAATATGTAGAAAAAAATGGTAACTACCCATCAGGAGAATGGTTAAACTATGGTATATTCATACTCTGGAATATTCTGCATCTTTCAGAAAGAATAAAGATCTACAAGACATATTAAGTGAAAAAAGCAAATTATAAGCAGAATATATATTCCCATTTATATGTATTAGAAAGCAAGTGTAAGCATATGTATTATACTTATGTATATTAAATACATATGCATTTAATATGTACATATGTTACATGCACATGTACTTAAATGCATTGAAATTGGCTGCAGTGTTCCCATCAAAACTGTTAAAATATTTTTTCAGGAGATGGTAAAGGGTTTGGTGCAAAAGACTAGTGGATATGGGTTCACTTTTTATTCTATATGAATTTATATGATTATCATTATAATTTTTATGTATATACATTTAAATAACATTTAAAGTAACTGTTTCTAAAAAGGAAATAAGAATTGGAACTTCCAAATAATTATAGGGAAAAAGCAACAAAAGAAACTCGGTCAACCAAGCAAACGTTCCATCTTTCTCTGGCCTGAAAGTCCCTCAGTGTTGTCTGGCTCCTGCCCATTTCTCTGACCCATTTTAAATGGCATTCTTCTTCACCAGTCAGTTCTAGCAACTACTCACCTCCTTTTTGTTTCTTGAATCAAGCTCCTACATTAAGGTTTCGTTCATGCTCTTTTTATGTTTGCAGTTCTGTGCTTCCTGATCTTCCCATGACTAATACCTTCTCATCATTTAAATCTCAGCCTAGGTAGAAGTCACTGCCTCATAGAGACTCCTGACCACCTTTGTAAAGTAGGGCCTTCACATTGTTACTCTGTCTCATTGTCATGTTTTATATTCTTTACGGCTCTTGTCAGTGCCTGAAATTATTTTTACTTTAAAAATTAACTCTCACACCTCATGATGTTTCAGTCAGTGATGGACCACATATATCATCTGGGTCTCATAAATTATAATACAGTATGTTTTCTGTACCTTTTC